AGACACACAAACACACATATATACACACACACGCATGCACACATTATAGACAAGTAAAGACACACTGAGATTTCTAGATCCGGTTTGCCCTGAGGCTGCTCTTGTCTTTGTGAGTCTCTTTTGATTTATTATAAAGCTGACGTCAGATGCCATTCTTCACATTCACAGCCACGCCGTCAGTGTGTGTGTGGGAATCTGTGTATGAGAATGTGTGTGTGAGCGAGAGGGAAGATGTTTAACCAGTTAATCAACATGATTCCAAAATATTATATTTGAGCCTGTACAGTTTAATATTTACCTGTTTTTGCAACATGCTGTGACATGCAAACCCTTCTACAGTATGACACACACACACACACACACACACACACACACACACACACACACACACACACACACACACACACACACACACACACCAGATAAAAAGCTAATACCCTGTCCAGGAACTGTCTGGCCCTGCATCCTGTAAGACCAGCTGCTGCCCTCTAGTCATAATGAAAAAGAAAAAAAGACAAAGATAAAAGATAGATAGATAGATATAGTGGACAGATACATCTATAGGCCTACAGTAGATAGATAGATAGATAGATAGATAGATAGATAGATAGATAGATAGATAGATAGATAGATAGATAGATAGATAGATAGTTTTGTTTATCATTTCTATTTGTGTATTCCCTCTTACTTGTTCACCTCTGTAGGGGTATATTATTATTTGGTCTACTCTACTCCCTTTTCACATTTCAAAATGAGAAAGGGTTTCCTGAACGCACCTTTCACACGCCCACTTTCTCTCATACACAAGCACACACACATAAACACCTGATGCTACAGACGATGCTCTTGTGTAAGAGACAGAGGGGATATGAGGGAGAGAAACTGAGGACAGATAAGAGAAGAGAAGAAGAGGAGGCAACAGAAGGGAAGAAGAGAGGAGAAAACACGGAGAGAAGTTGTAAAATATTCTTTAACGGTGGGAGTTTTGGATGGATGAATGATCTCACAGGAATCATGGAGAGACATGTGCATGGGTACATACTTTCACGCACGTAAACCCACATACTTTTAAAAGCACCAGGTAAGCAATTTAAAGACAAATTGTAATATTCTACAATTTACAACTACAACTAACCTGCTGTTGATTTTAGATATGAGGTTTTATATTTCAAAATAGATGTAACAGTAAAGAAAGGCTTCAAGAAACTCTTTGTGTTGTTTTACAGTTTAAGTTCAAATATAGAAAGTCGGACAGTTGGAATTTGAGGTTAGAAATGGCAATAACTTCAAAGCTTCTCTGTTGCCTTGAGGCTACATGTATGTTTCCTCTTTCAGACGCACAGAACATATGATAATCACCTCCTAACCGATAACACAAGTATAGTTTCACATATACGATCAGCCATATTTAGGTTATCTTAAACAGCACTGTCGCCACACAAATACACTTTTTTGTATCAAGAAAAAAACCAAAGAATGGAAATTTGTTTCACATGGGTGAAAGTTAACAATTTGTGTTAAATATTTGTCACTAAAAGCTTTAACCTCTTAATTTGAATGCATCCCTTATTGAAAGTTTTAGATAAATGTAGATCAATCTTTGAACAAACAATGAAACACTTTAGTCAAGTGAAGCATGATATCAAGATAAACATCAAGATAAACTCACAGAAATAAATCATTGGATTGTGTCAGTTCAAATCATCAAACTCAATAACATCCATGATGCATACAGCTGGAAAACCCTGTATGTCGACATGAGGTTCTGTGTTATTGCAGCCACTCCCTGTATTACGGTTCCATCAAAAACATTCAACATTGACGTGTGTCAAAGTGCGTGTGCACACATTTATTAATGTGAAGGTTAAAAATAGAAATTCCAGGGAAAAAAAACATCAAACACAATCCTCACAGATCCAAATACTTTTACATCTAAAGGGCCGGTAGGGAGAAATGTCTACGCAAAACGTTTACAATTGCTTAGTTTGATCCACTTTTGTAGAGAAGAGAATGGAAGACTGCCAAATGTGCCTTACAACAATTTGACACTAAAAAAATTACATTTTTATTTTTGAAAAATCGAAAATGTTCTTCACTTTCTGTGAAGACAAGACAATATTTAGATACCACAGTTCATGTGAAAAACTCATGTGCTATAACATACTATAAAACAGCCTGCAGCATTTAAGTAACATGCACAAAATATCTATGTATTACAAAGTGTAAACAGAAGCAAAAGAAAAACCAAATCCAAAAAATAATTAGTTGTACTTAGTAATTTATGTTTTTATGTAGTAATCATTAGATACAAAGTTAAAAAAGTCACTTCTTTAGTCAAAGTGTAATTCTTAATCAAAGATTATCTGTAATGAAAAACATCTAAAAGTATTATCTCTGTAGTTCCCCTCAGCTTTAATATTGTTGGCTTCTTTAAGCTAATTGCTTTGTTTTTCCAGCAAACAAATATCAAGTGTTTTGATATCTTTCCAGCACTTAACATTCAACAGAGAAAGTACGATTCTAGCTGGTCAACATGTTGGAGCTAAAAAGCCAGATATATTCTTTAGGAGTCCCTAACAGAGTCGAAATGAGAGTGTATATTGGACATTTGCCTAGCGTACAGAAACACAAATGTTAATGATTCTTGATGTTTACATTAGAACATTTTTATTGACAAGTTCTTCACATCAACCTTGTAAATTATGAATCTGAAAAACATAATAATAATTAAATTAAAGGTGCTTTACTAATTAATAATTGTATATTGGAACGTATACAAACATGTCAGTATGATGTTCCTTTGAATTTGGAAATTTGAGCCATTATTTCGCAAAGTAGGCCAATGTAATAATAATAATAATAATAAATTATATTTCTATAGCGCTTTTCTTGAATGTAGTGTGGGATACTGTACTGTCTACATTTTACAAACATAAAAGTGAGAAGTGCACCACATGCAAACAAAAAAACTGTGATTTATGAAGGACTGAGTATGTAACCTCAGGTAAGGTTACATCTATGTGAGATGTAACCTTATCTACTGTGTCCACCCATGCCCTGCAGTCAATCTGTGAATGTAGACAAAGCCACTGAAAATAATAGATTGCTTTAGTTTACTAGTGATAAAGGAGAATTTAAACAATAATACACTGTGCTCATCATATCCAGATCTAGGAACTGGGACTGCACGAAAGGGAAGTGGAATACAGAAGTAATGAAAGTTTTAACGAATTAAATTTGAATATTTGGGACACCCATGAATGAATCATCAGAGGGATGTGACACAAAAAAACAACGCACAGGCAAATAGACCCAACATAAAACCTTTTTTTAATGAAAAATAAATAATTTACTGTGAATTTATGTTACTTAATGTTTCCAGGACGATGCATGGCCTTTGCTTTGAAGGACGGTGGAGATGGACACACCTTTTTGTCATCTGGCTTTCACTGCTAGCAGCTGCTCCAGCCAAAGGTATATTCATACATAAAGAGGAAACAGAGAGGAACTTTTCATACTGATTTAAATTTATGGAAATAGTATTTATTTGCACGAAAGAAGCTTTTAACTTGAAATAACACACTTAGGGACATATTTTTACAGCTGAAAAGTTGTATCTTTAGTCAGCTTGCTGCCTTGTCCACTTGACTACACTGTTAGATTGTATATATTCTTATTTTTTTGTCTTAGTTAAGTAGGCCTACTTTGTACCACTATGATGTATGTGCAAGTGACAATAAAGCCTTTTTATCTTTGAAAACATCACAAAAACACTAGTCTGAGTATGAGAGGTTCCGAGTGTACAGCTAATTCTTAGCAACTCTGCAGCAACAGTTTGCTGCTTTGAGTAAAATTGTCTTGTCATCACACCCAAACAATTATGCTAACTAGTATTTGGCTACAAGGGTTTTGGCTAGAAATGAAGGTTACAACAATAGCAACAGTGTAAACAGAACTAAAAGACAAACGAATGCTTAAATTCTTAAAATGTGTAACTAAAGATGTCTTAGCTAGCAGTTAGCATTTCTAGCTTTGTTGAACTAAATAAATAAGCTTCTAGTTCAGACTTCCTTTGCTGACAAATTGTCAACCGACCATATACATTTTTTCTCTAGTCATTTATGACCCATGTCGTTCTGCAACTTGAGAATTATCACCTTTAGATTATCCTTTATCTCAAAAACGTTTTCAACACTGGTGAATATTGTAAAGCAGTCAGCTACTAACAATATAGATATTTCCCTGAGGAGTTGATTGAGACCAAAGCAAAAAATGTATTGAGAGTACAATTAGATTGAATAATGGAGACAAAGGAGCTATTTTTAGGTTTTTTGTGAGGCCAAAATCTGCATGAATGGTATTATTGCTAAGCATCGGCTCTATGCGTAAATAGGTAACTGTTTGTTCACAAGTTATATCCATATTGTCTTAAAATGTAAATGTTTCTTCAAACAGATGATTCTCACGACCAATAGGATATCATCGTAACAATTGAAGATGTTTAACATTTGTGATTTAAAGTCGCTGCTAGGATGGATTTGACAGTAGATCAGATTGTGTGAAAACACTAATAACATGTCTACGGTGAAAATTGAAATGTATTTAAGTCCATTGAGATAAAAGTGTCAGCTAAATTACATTTGATGTTATGCCTACACTACAGGAGTTTGTGTACTTACATTAAAGTTATTTAGGCTAAACTCAATAATTAAGACTCTCAAGTGCAATAAAAACGTTGGTAACACTTTTTATTTAGGTACACAAATTAACCATCAACTAGTTGTTCATTAACATGCATATAAGCAGTATATTGGCTCTTTATTAGTCAGTATAAAACACTTATTAATGCCTTATTCTACATGACAATATTCTACAAGTAATAATCCATTAGTTGAGAGTTTTTCCTCAATAACCCTCTAATTAGTGGTTATTTATTGCAAGTAAGGAAGTTGTTGTACATGAGTTTTGGCCTTAATATGCTCTGCTNTTTTGTTAAAGCATTTAAGATATTCATTGCTATCGGGATGTTAAGAGCATTCCATGGAATATAACAAAAAGTGTATCCCGAGCCGGTTTCTCAAACTTACCTACCCCACCTTTAAGTGCTTTGACAAAAAATCCATAAAAAAATGTCATCTGTAAAAAGCACGACCAATCATTTGAGCCGGCCCGGCTAAAATAACTGGATGGCCTACCTGCCTGTCAGCCTTCCATCTCGTGCACAAACTTATCTCATGCCCTCATTGGTCATGTGCGGGTTCGTGTGTGTTGGAGGAGGGGCTCTGTAAGGAAGTCTGAAGGAAGGGGCAGATTTTTTTCGGGTGCATAGTTTCAAATTCTAGCGCACTCGAGCTGGTTTCTCCATTCTTACCTACCCTACCTTTAACACTTATAGTTTCATGTCTTGTTACATAAGAATAGATCATATTTGTTAAGTGTTATTATGGGAGAATTACTATTCTTGTGGTACTACTGCCTTATTAGGCCCAGAGCAGAGAGCATATTTGGACCAAAACTCATACAACAACTTCCTTACTTGCAATAAATAAGCACTAATTAGAGGGTTATTGAGGAAAAACTCAACTANCAGTACAAACTTTACAAAATGTGCAAATATGAAAGATACAGGTCAATATCTCTAAGAATATGTTTTGGTGTATTGACAGTTCAGCTACTAATAGCAAGGTGATATTGACCTGTATCTTTCATATTTGCACATTTTGTAAAGTTTGTACTGAAGGTTAGACAGGAAACCGCATACAGGAAGTAGAAGAAAGTGAACTGAATAGCAGGCAGTAGACTGCTACACATTTTCCCGATGCAACCTGAATAGTAAAAGGGTCAAGTCCATCAGAAAGTTTAAGCCTGCACTCGCACTGTAATGATTAGTAACGCAGCATTAGCATACATGCTAGCGTTAGCCATACTAGCCTGTATACTTATTGCACAGCTAGCATTAGCTATATTTATAGATATAAATACCTCATTTTGAGTTATTTAGACTTAAATAACACTTATAGTTTCATGTCTTGTTACATAAGAATAGATCATATTTGTTAAGTGTTATTATGGGAATTACTATTCTTGTGGTACTGCTGCCTTATTAGGCCCATATTGAGCAGAGCATATTAAGACCAAAACTCATGTACAACAACTTCCTTACTTGCAATAAATAAGCACTAATTAGAGGGTTATTGAGGAAAAACTCTCAACTAATGGCTTTTTACTTGTAGAATATGGTCATGTAGAATAATGCATTAATAAGTGTTTTATAATGACTAATAAAGAGCCAATATACTGCTAATATGCATGTTAATTAACAACTAGTTGATGGTTAATTTGTGTACCTTAATATAAAGTGTTACCAAAACTTTAATACCTCTTATATATGCACAGCTTTCCACTTCCAGTATTGGTACCAATACTGCACATATTTTTATTTGAAAGGGTATATCTATAGTTCATCTATATTTCATGTAAACATTGCTATATTTTAATGTTATAATAGTTTTCCTAAAATTGTTATTTATAATTGTTTTACTTATTTATTGGTCCTTTTCTTACCTTCTTTGACTGTGTTCATGTATGCACCATATACAAGGCAAATTCCTCAGATGTGTTAACCAACTTGGCAATAAACCTGTTTCTGATACTGATTCTGATTAATCTGCATTTCTTTCACCCATTCCAGCATTTGGCTATTTCCTGGGGGACACAAAGGCAGTGTTAAATGGCTGTAAGGACCACTGGACCCTGCAGGACAGGGTCGCCATGCCGTTGCTCTTTCAGATGACTTTGTGTGTGGACATCCGTGTGGTCGTCCCCGGAGCCTGGGTGGCCTTCTCTTACAGCTCGGTCCACGCACCCAGACCTGAGCTGAGTCTGGAGGGGGATGAAGATGCACTGTATGCATGGTTGCTAAGGGTCCGACACCGATTTCCCATCCGGCTGTCCCCAAAACACTGGCATAGAGTATGTCTGAGGAGAGACGTACAACACAACTCATTTAGCCTGGAGGTAACACTACAAAATATAGAGGTGCTAGTATGTTAACTGGTGGATAAAGTATTATTTACTACTTCAGCAAAAAATCACATTCAGAAAAAATTCCATTACAAGTAAAAGTCCTAAATTGATAAAGTTACTGAAGTCGAAGTTGTACTAAATAATTACTGATGGATTAATGTGTAAATATAGACAAAGTTCAACATTTCTTTGAGTGTAGTAGACATGGAAGTAAAAGTATGTGTAGTTTTTACCTAAGTAAAGCACTTCAGTAGTTACTTTTTACCAATTTATTGTTTAGACAACTCAATACATTTATCGTGAACAAATACCATATCAAGTGGATGAGGTTTTGAATGAAAGACAAAACAATGCCCTGAACAATAAACAGTATTACAGGCACGATTGAGTGTGCGCGGTTAAGCTGCACATATAGCTTGCAAAGCTAATCGCAATGACTCAAAGAATAACTACAGTTTTTTAACAACGTTGGTACTATTTTTTAGTTAAACATAATTTATCAGTAATGTTTAAATTATAGACCTTATAAAACACACGCTTTGAACAAAAAGTATAGTGAAATTATCCAAACAGCTTGATAAAGAGTTGAAATGGTATTAATTGTATTTTATCAGTTTAACTAACCTGAGTTTGTAATTAAAACTAGTATGAAAACAGGAGTAGTGGTACTGTAACAGGAGTGCAACATGTTTCTCGCTCTGGAATGATGGCTAAAACTACAAAATGAAGATCCATGTGCTGAAAACCAGAATTATCCTATTAATGACCAAGAACACATCTTGGGGCAGCTTGAGCCAAGCAATTAAGAGATTCAAATATTTAAATTGTCTCTAGTTGCAAATAAAGCCAAACATGCTGTGTAAATGTTTCAGGTTGATGGGAAAATGGTGGCACAGAGGACAGTCATCGCTCAGGCCATCCCCCCTGCCGGCTCCATGTGGCTGGGCTGCCGTCCCAGAGACCAGCCCCCAGGAGACACGCTGGGGGAAGTAGAGTTGTACCTGTTCCGCATGTGGGGAGACCTGGGTAACCATGGTCTCTGTGAAGACGGGTCTGTGATTGGCTGGAACACTCACTACTGGGGTGTGACCAGTCCCAGAGCCAGACAGAGAGACCCCAACCTTCTGTGTGGTGAGACTAATTGCATTCATAACAAGATACAGCTTTATCTCTTCTATCCTGTCATTATGCAATTAATGATGCATAAATGTAGAATACTAACTAAACATAGTAAAGCATGATTGCAATTTGTCATAGAAAAACCCTTAAGCATGTATCATATCCAGGATTTCTGTAGCGTTCTCTTCTTCAAAATTCAGATTTGAACCAACCAAAGTTCATTCAGAACATTAATGTTATTATCTAATAAAATATAAATGTTTTAAAAAAAATCTTAATAGTATATGTTTATTGGTGTGTTCCTCTCTTGTACTAACAGTAGTTGTGCATGTTTCTAGATCATGTCTTTGTTGAATGTTGCATGTTATCATGTGTCTTGTAGACCACAGACGGTTAAGGCGTGGGGCACGTGTTTTCAGAAGGTCGTTAAATGGTGTGTATTAATCTGATGTACGCCTGCATATGTACTGTATGTATGTATGTATGTATGTATGTATGTATGTATGTATGTATGTATGTATGTATGTATGTATGTATGTATGTATGTATGTATGTATGTATGTATGTATGTATGTATGTATGTATGTATGTATGTATGTATGTATGGATGTATGTATGTATGTATGTATGTATGGATGTATGGATGTATGTATGTATGGATGTATGTATGTATGTATGGATGTATGGATGTATGTATGTATGTATGTATGTATGGATGTATGGATGTATGGATGTATGTATGTATGTATGGATGTATGGATGTATGTATGTATGGATGTATGTATGTATGTATGTATGTACGTACGTATGCATGTATGTATGTATTTATGGATGGATGTATGGATGTATGGATGTATGTATGTATGTATCTATGTATGTAATCAAGCATTACATTCCCTGCTTCAGCACCAACAATTGGAGTTGGAAGGTTCTTCTCACCACCACCTGGTAATTAAGACAATAATATACAATTACATAATGCCTCTCATTATGTCAATTACAGGGATATTAACATCCTTCTTCCTTCTTCCTTGTACCTAAAGTGCCTTACCCTACATCTACCTTGAGTCCTGTCATAGCAACGCCTGTCTCTCATGTGAGCAACCACACTTCTAAGATCACAGGTAAGAAATTATGACTATGTCAAAAAAAAATTCTATAGGTTAAATCAAGTAATGTCTCTTAGTGAGAAAGTACTCATTTTGTAGTTTTGGCCATCTTTTTTGGCCATCATTTCCGACAGTTAACAACATATCATATTGTCAATAAGTAATTTAAAGTAACATAGGTCAAATTGGCCTTTCATTTTGAGGTTTTGACCTTGATTTGTTTCAGTTTTTATTAAATTGTAATTTATTTTATTTTGAAATGGGCCTACTTTTTATAGTTTAGTCCTAAGTAAGAAAATAATTGAAATAATCATTGAAAAAAGGTAATTAATGCAAACTTCAAGACCTGGTGGCTGTCTGTATTTCATTTCTATTTTCTACACCGTCTGAAAGCACTACAGTCAACAGCTATCAAACCGAGCCTCCGTCAATCACACACCCAGCCAATCACAGCACAGAAACAAAAACAGACAAGCAAGAAAATGTGTCATTTACACCCACAGATTCACCAACAATAGACTGGAGACCATCTCACGCCACAGTCCTTCCCTACACTACTGTTCCTGCGTCCGACACACGCTCAGCCAATCAGATGTCAACCAGCACCCAAAAGACTCCAATCCCAACTCCGGTTGACCAAACCCTAGCTGGAAGAACATCTGGTTAGTCTGGATGTGTGTTGCATATGTGTATGGGTGTTTAATAAGAGAACACAAGAAGAATAAATACAACTAAAGCTGGTGTTGTTATGTTTTAATTGTCTTTTAAAAGCAGTTTCCTCTATTATTTTAGGGTCCTCATTAGTCAATTGTGACATCAGCCAACTCTGCTCCAATGACAGTAAGAAACATCCACGTTTTATCCAATTACTCTTTTATTTTGTCATATTTGATGGCCTTACAACTTGATTTACTTCTGCAGGTGCTTACTTTTGGATGACTATAAATGTGACTGCCAAGAGCGTCAGTAAGACTGAACAAGATGTTCACAACTTGGTAAGAGTGACAATCTTTCTTCATCGTCTTTGTTTGGTCAACACTCCTTTGTGTCATGCCGCTAAAAGCTTTAAATGCCAGCTCGTCACAAACAAGTCTTGCCGGCTCGGGATTATTTCTCTTTTGAGTAACACATTCCAACCCTGTGATGCATCTGAGATTTATTTAGATTTGGACTGTCAACCATTAAGTGCAGTATAAACCTTGATGATGTGTCTACGATCTTAACTCACTGATCTTTTATTATCTGCTCTTCCCCCTTCTTTCAAACTATGGATTATATCCTCTTCCATGTGTGTACCTTAGTGTTTTTCACTCTGTATATCAGTACTTTCTTAACCTTAAGTCAATCTCATATGTTGTAATGCTTTTGTCACCTATGTGTACCTAAACTGTATGTATTTGGATCCCATCATTTTGTACAGTATTATCATGTCTCTCTCTCCATCTTTCACTCAGGTGTCAAATGCATTCAGTTGCGCCACTAATAGAAGTGATACTGCACAGCGAGTAACAGACTTTATAGATTTCTGTCAAGGTGACAAATTCATTCAGGTCAGTCTTTCCCTAAACCAAGCAACACCCTTTCTCTTTCAGAATAAACAAAAAGATACATGGCAGACATGATGTCTATAACTTATCTCTCTCTCTTTTCAGACAGTACAGGTAAACTGCAGTGCAAAAAGTAACATAAGGTAACAGCATGTCAGCATGTGTTCTGTATTTATTTCCAAATGTTATTTAGTTTTTATCTGATCACAGTGGTGTGTATGCGTTGTTTACAGACAAACAACCTGCGATGTGCTGCTGCAGCTCAGCCGCGCTGTTTCAGCATGTGAACTGCAGCGTGCTGGAGACTCTGCACTGCAGCAAGCTGCTGACACACAAATAGAAGTGAGAATCACAGGAGAGGTGGAGAGAGTCGGTGAGCATTTTTTAATTAGTACACACACACACACACACACACACACACACACACACACACACACACACACACACACACACACACACACACACACACACACACACACACACACACACACACACATTGCCCTGTAAGTATATACATGACAGGTTTCTCCAAATATGCTTTTTTCTTCAATTTGTTTTTGTATCTCAACTGGCAGTGTTTGTTTATGTTTTGGATACTTGCTTTTTTACATTTGGATTTTTGGTTGTCCCTTTAAATAACAAACAGACATACATTATTAGGGCTTAACACATACATACACATTATTTAGCAAAAATGCAGTCGAGCTTTGATCACAGTCAATACAATGACACTGCAGGAGCTCACATATTGTATATGGTGTGTGTGTGTGTGTGTGTGTGTGTGTGTGTGTGTGTGTGTGTGTGTGTGTGTGTGTGTGTGTGTGTGTGTGTGTGTGTGTGTGTGTGTGTGCGTGCATGCGTGTGCGTGCGTGATTGTATGTATGTTTGTGTGTCGTAAACTATCTCAAACTAAATCTAAATAGACAACAGAAACAGAAAAACAAATGTGTTGCACTGTTCTTGTGAGGATTCTTATTGACATAATTAATTCCCCCTCCCGAGATGACATTTATAACATCATGCCTTACCCCAATAACAAAATGAATTTCCCACTCACAGTTACTTATCTTCCCCCTTTTAATTTTGTTCACATCAGGTCGGGGTATTTGTGGGGATGTGGAGCCCTCGAGTGGTAGGTTTGTGAGGTGTACATCCACTTCTTCACTGGATGATATTTGTCAAGCTAACACAAACCCCAAGCTGACATGGTGAGTAAAGTATTCTGAATAAGCTTATTTGAACATGCAAACCCTGTTTCTTATTAGTGTTTATTTTCTTAGTTCCTTCTTAGAACCCAACTCATACCAAGCTCTACAACCTGATAAAGAATTTGGCTGCAGTGAATATCACAGTATGTAACGCCGACACCCAATATAATGAAGTACAATTCACTTCTGCCACCGCTGCTGTAAACATATTCTCTCAACCTCAGGTGAAGCGCCTAGCTTTTGTGACTGCACTGCTTTCTGCAATTCTTCAAGTAAGAACAACTGTTTGAATATTTTGTACTAAAATGTCTATGTTTTGCGTAAATACTGTACATGTGCCCAAACCCCCAATTACATAGCCTGTAATGTTATAAGTAAGTGTGTCCTTTGAATATATGGATGTTGTAAAAATAACAAACTATAGGTTTGTATTCAGAAATGTTTATATTAGCATGAGAAGGTTCACTCACATATTTACACGCTAAATATAAGGCTATAGCCGGAAACTAGTTGGCTGAGCTTAGTAATGTTATAAGTGTCTACTTTGAATAGATAAGATGATAAAAAAAGTCTTTGTTAGCACACATACTGAAATCAGGTGGAAAGAGCTAACTTGGTTAAATAGTTTAATTAACAAACAAGATATAGGAAGTTAATTAGTGAAATGTAGTGCTGGTAGGTTTAGCATTATTTAATTTTAGATCCATGAAGCTGCTTCCATCTTCTTCCATTCTGTGTGCTAGGCTAACCATATCTTGTCTGTAGCTTATGTAGCTATAGCTGTAGGTTGTACGTTATCATTGTCCTTCTTTCCCAAATTACTGAAATACTCCTTTAATTGAAAGGTAGGGTGTAACAAATATGTCCATAAAATGCCCTTGACATCTTCTCCTTTGTTTAATTTTCCTCTTTAGGACAGTTTTTTGCCATTAGAATAAATATTCACAGTGTCTCTGTTAATGTTAACCTCCTAAAAACATGGGTATGTACAGCAAAGTATAATTTACATAACTTCTTATTGAATTTACATGCTATGTACTAACTTTATTACCGTATTTAACAGTTGGCTGGACTTGCACGCATGTGTCTGTCGATGTCAGCGTGAGTTTCTATTCATTTTCAACTACTTACAATTTATACATGTAGACCATGGAGAGAAATTAAACGGTTCACCTCAAGACTTCATGTGACAATTATTTGTTTCCAGGTCAGAGTGCCAAGATATTTTAGAGCGCTACCAGGTAAAGTTTTCTGCTGCTTGATACTTACTCAAAACCTTATAAAATCACATTGTTCTCCTCACATTGAGGTTGCTGTTAATCATGTTTTCTGAATTATTACTTTATACAGCAAGCTCATCTGGAATGCCACGGGACAGAACAGAGGTAAAGATTACTGCTGTTGTCAATGATGAATACAGACGGATAAAGACAATCATAACATTTCAATACAGAATGAGGCACCATTGATGTTTTTGAGGATCAATTCCGGGATCTGATGTTGGGAATGTTTTACCTCCTTTCTGCTGGTATTAGGTTGTACAGCTGCATGGTGATACTGGAGATGTCTGGACCTGTCAATGGTTGTTTCCTGAAAAAACTTCTGAAGCTAATTATTGACAGAACCAATGATATAACAAATGAAAAGCCTCTTACACGCATGGGTTAGTCTACAAGTGTATCTCTTTTTCCTATTATATTAACATCTGTTATATGTTATTGACCGTACTCTTTGTGTCCCCAGTGGTTTGTGGTCCTCCTGGTTTGGCAATCCGTACTCTGTTGGGGTCCAACCTGACCTGGGTTGAAAGTGACCTGCTGATGTCAGACGTCTGCCAACCTGACCCCACTCTGCTTAAATGGTACATCTATCAAATATAGTTCATATAAATATATTCATGGTGGCTTTAGAAAATGTAAATGTAAATGTTTGTTTGTTTTTTGGTTTATAGTTTTTCATTTTGGGTGAACATTGAACATTGAACATTGGGTGATCATTATAGTCGTCCTGTGAAATGTAGGAACTCACAAACAAAGGGAACTGCTAGTATGTATAATAATATAGTCAGCGGTTGGATTACACTGTTCTCAGCATATCTTGTTGGTGTTAGTTGGCAAATCTAGTTGAGAGAAGTATCAATCCCTTCATCCAACTCTGAGAAAGAAAGCCTTATTTCCAAAATGTCAGACTTATTCAATGTTTCTCAATAGAATTAGTGGAAAGTGTTTTTAAAGACAAAATATTAAATATTCTAATAATCTTGACGTTGGCACCTGACAAGGCACTAAAATGTTTTGCAATGTTTGATTTTTGTAGTGAGGGAAAGGAGAGCCTTGCTGTACTTCTGACTGACAGCTGCCCTCTGGAAACCATGCAAAGCACAACTATGCCTTCCACTCCAAACAACAACATTCTCTCTACATCTTCTGAAGCTTTTACATCATCTGTGATCAACCCTACTAAACAAACTAACACTATTGTAACATCTCAACAGACAAATGCCTCACAAGGGACAGCTCATCCTAACATAACTATTTCCCACACAACAAACAACAGAACACAGTCCTCAACAGAACAGCCCGTCCTAAGAGCGACCTTACAAAACATGACTTTCAGTACAGAAGCACAAAACACAACTTTGCCCGATAACACAGCACCAACTGACCAAACAAAACTGCAAAACACAACCAAAGCAGACCAAGGCACAACAGAATTCATACCATTATCTTCTGTTAACTCAACATTACAATTCACCACAACAGCCCCTATTGTTTCAACACTTTACGCAGCTACATTGTCTCCAAATCAAACCACAGAGTTCAAACTAACAACAGTTGATACAGTTACAGCCACTGCTAATAACACAACAGTGTACAATATAACTACATTTACAACTTCTAAGAATCACACAACAAAGTACAATGCAACTGTAGTTTTAGCCTCAGCCAATCACACAACAGAGTATAATGTTACAACAGTTACACCTTTTAAAGATCACACAACAGAGTACAGTGTTACAACAGTTAAACCTTCTATCAATCACTCAACAGATTACAATGCAACTACAGTTGCTCCCTCTTACGATCACACAACAGATTACAATGAAACTATAGTAACACCTTCAACCAAACACTCAACAGATTACAATGCAATAACAGTTACACCTTTTAACAATCACACAACAGAGAACATTGTGACTACAGTTACTCCTGTTACCAACCACACAGAGAACAATGTAACTACAGTTACTCATTCTAAAACCACACAACAAAGTACAATGCAACTACAGTTACTCCTTCTACGAACCACACATCAGTGTACAATGTAACCACAGTTACTCCTTTGTCCAACCACTCAACAGATTACAATGCAATTACAGTTACAACTTCTAACAATCGCACAAAAGAGTACAATGTAACTAGAGTTACTCCATCTACGAACCACATAACAGATTACAATGCAACTACAGTAACACCTTCTACCAACCACTCAACAAATTACAATGCAATAACAGTTACACCTTCTGACAATCACACAACAGAGAACATTGTGACTACAGTTACACATTCTACAAACCACACATCAGTGTACAATGTAACTACAGTTACTCCTTTGTCCAACCACACAGAGAACAATGTGACTACAGTTACACATTCTACCAACAACACAACAGAGTACAATGTAACTACATTTACCAACCAGACAACAGAGAACAATCTAACTACAGTTACTCCTGTTACCAACCAGACAAAAGAGAACAATCTAACTACAGTTACTCCTTTTGCCAACCACACAACAAATTACAATGCAATAACAGTTACAACTTCTGACAATCACACAACAGAGAACATTGTGACTACAGTTACACATTCTACCAACAACACATCAGTGTACAATGTAACTACAGTTACTC